TGCATTCCAAAGATAGCTTACAGCATTGCAGTATAAAGTAACATATTGATAATTACGTGGAGTTATAAACTGGCAGAATCTGAAATACGTATATTATAATAAAGTGTTTTATCATTATTATTTTTTGTAATGGTTAGTAACCATTTTGGTCCAAATAAAGTTCTAAGAACATGATAAATATACTTGATTGGTATTTCATACAAGTGCAGTGAAAAAGTCTAAAAAATTATGTTGTTTATGAGGAAATATAATGCTTGCTGATGGCGTACTTTTTCAATTCCCGGAAATAAGTTACGTATTACTTAAAATTATTTATAGTTGCTATTGTTCTCGCTGTTGGGTTAACATGCGAAAGATTAAAGGCCTGTACAAATAAAGGCGTTGTTCCCTTCCGGTGTATGCATTGTTTTGTATTTGTGGTATATTTACGTTGAGTTGGAGTATTTTAAATTAAAAAAAAAAGATGAATGTCATGGCAGTAAAACATCATAATATTTAAAGATAAACAATGTGTTAAGGTGCCTTCAAAGCGCTTTTGTGGTACCATTAGAAGGCGTCCTTATATTTTAAGTATTATGAAGAAAATTCACGTTATACTAACGGATAGCGATTGAAGAGTTAAATCAATTGATACATGAAGTAGGCAATTTGACCAATGATTTCCTTATTTCAAATGAACATGATGTTTCTGGTAGTCATTCGTAAGAAGTTGACAGTAGCTTCGTGGTACATTTAAAAATGTTGCGCTTTGTTTATGACAAAATTTATATTGCAAACATTTAGTAGCCCAGGTCCGTGAAAGAAAAATTTTATGAATTTGTGTTCAGTGCCTGCAGCACTTGTCACGGAACTTGACTTTTGAATAATAATGATTTAGGTACTGCCGGCTCACACTATTAGGTCATTATTAGGTCCCCTTTTATTTGTTGTATTTGTTAATGTTTACTACTAATTATAAAGTTTTTAAAGTTGTTATTAATACTTGAGACGCGATTCTATTACAAGAGGATAGTAAGTCTAGTAGTAAGACTGGACAGTTATTGTACAGCTAATAAACTCGATTTAAATGTATCAAAATGTTAAAAAAATGTGTAAAAGAGTGTGGTGGCTAACACTCTCGTATTTTATATATTGATATTTCAATGAAATTGATTTATTTCAGGTTCCAATGAATTTCAGAGGTAGAAAAACTAAGAGCCATTTTCCACTAACCAATGTAATGTCCAGTGAAGTTAAGAATCCTGTGATAAGACGTTCCAATATTTTCTACAGGTAAAACCACCTATGCCACTGTCGATTTTACAGTAATGTCGAAAAAACTCCAAAACTTGTGGGTTTTTACTAATATTTTGTGGCTTGTAAGCAAATTGTATGTAAAGCTGAATCAAGTAAAATTACTGGTTTAAATAATAATCATAGCCCCGCACTAGGGAAACCCTGTGTCGCGGGTGCCATGGATACACACATAGACAACAACATATTACACCCAAACTCACGAGAGAAATAAATGTAGGCCATACAAATATTTCTCCCGGTCCGGGAATGGAACCCGGGACCTCTGTGTGGCAGACCAGCACGGTAACGAGGCAGTTAACACGTGTTTGTTACTAAGAGAAATTATACAAAAGTGTATTTCTACAGGCAAAACCAATTACCTACTCGACGCTCTCAATAAAATCGTTTTTTTGTCGTCAATCAAACACAGCCTGGATGATTTGCATTACAAAGTAGTAGACAAGGTAATATAAGGTTTAGGATATAATAAACACAGCGCACATGTTTTCGTGATTTCATGTAAAAACAAACATTCAAACACATTATAATCGCATTAACTTGAAATAACATTTTTGCATACAATCGGTATTTGCAGTAGTTAGGACGATAATTTAAAATGAGGATACTTCCTCAAAGCTGTTTTGTACTGGCGCTGAATCAATTTTCAGTCACGAAATACCACTCGCAAAGATAACAATTGAAGCAATTTTGTTTCACACACTGACACGTCTCAAAACTGTTTATCATTTCTCATATTTGACATTTAAATTTGAATTTAAAAGATCTCGTTTCATTTTTGTAGCGGAATTACTTCCAAAAACTGTTGTATGTTGTGTTGTCAATAAAAGGGTTTGAATTCAAGTAGCAAATAAGTAGACATGTTGCTTCGATTGCTGCCTTTTGTGGCATCTGTTGCATTTGTTTGTAAAGCCTGCCAATTTGGTGCGGAAACTTTTACCAGTAAGTAACCTTACGATTCTGTTATTGAGATTCTAGAACCTTCTTCACCGCAGGTTCTAAAATTTCTCACTAGATGTCACTAGCGGCTCAGAATGCCAAATCTTTAACAAAAACACACAGGAGAATCTCGACAACTGGATATTTGGACGCGTAGCTCAATTGGTAAGGGCAATAGTGTAGTAGTGGGTTCAAATATGGTTCAAATCCTATCGGGTCGTAAAAGTTTTTCTGTGTATTCGATATTTGTTTTAATCTTCTTCTTCCTGTCCTTACCCCGCGCTAGGTGGTGTCGGCACAACACGTTTTTTTTTTCCACTCTCCCCTATCAACCGTCATTTCCATACTCACACCTTTCTTACTCATGTCATCTTTCACCTTCCTTTCCTCTTATATCCCTCCACATTTATACCTAACATTCTTCTCGTCACATGACATTCTTTCCTCCGCATAACATGTCCGTACCACGCTAACCTATTACTCCTCATCTTCTCCGTCGCTGTCTGACGCCACTTTCAAGCTTCCCCTGATGTACTCATTCCTTATTTTATCCTTTCTCGTCACTCCACACATCCATCTCAACATGCGCATTTCTTCTGCATGCAAAGTTTGTTCATCCTCCCGATATTTGTTTTAATAATCATAACAAAAACTTCACGATTGTCTGGATTGCCGCGTGGTAAAGCGAGTCCCTTGTTGTTGTGACTTTTCACTCCGATTTTCTGTGCAGTAAAAATTGTTGAATTATCGAGACCGAGAGGACTTTATTGTCATTTGACGAATTTTTCAATTCGTTTAGTATAAATTGTGATAGAAAGCTTTAATTGCAACGCTAAAGAACAAAAAGGAGACAACTGAGCAAACAAATGGAGACTATGGGGTACGCAAATGGATTTCTATTTCAACCTTTTCATATAATACAACAAGAAGCACTATAAACGAATCTGTCACTTTATAACCGTGCTAGTCTGTAAAAAGCAGAGCAGAGAATCACGATCTATGTGGTTATACAAACATTAAAATGATGTCTTTTTCTTATTTGCTTATAAAACTGACCCTATGTACCTATGCTGAAAATGCTTAATTTTTTTCTAGTTAAACTCATTTAGATCAAACTGGCACTTCAATCTCTCAATCCGCCTATAACTTCGAAGACTATTTATAAATAGTAAATATTATTTTTGTGACCTTCTAAAGGGGAAAACTCCTTTATGCTCTTTCGCAGTTCCTGTTTGAATGCCGTATTGATATAACTGCCAAATAACTAAATAGACAAGTCCGTTTCGGTCTCATTGTCTAGCAATCAGGTCTGGCAGTCATATTTTGGGATGTGACAGTGTCTGTAGTTTTAATTCTATGAAATTTATCGTCGCTGCTACTCAAAACGAATATGTGTAAAACTGGTTTTCATTTTGCAAAAAACAAAAAGTTAAGCACGACGTCTTTGGCATTTTATGCTGCAGCGAGGACATATTTCAATGTTAGCTTTATATTATCCAAAATGCGCGTTCTTCTCTCCATATCTTTACACATGCTCTTGTTATTATTCTCAAGCTTATTATTTTTCTTTTCCAGAAGATTATGATGATCCTGATGATCTTATGCAAAGCCCATACCATTTTAAAAGTTTGCAAATAATGGTTAATTGTGGAGAAGATTGGCCGTTTAGTACAAAGGTTAAAAGTGAACGTATATATATGCTGGTATGCATAAATGGTTCGTATGAAGGACATGATGCGAGCTATTTTAAAGATACAGTTTTGGATCAATATAACATAAGTTCGAAAGCGGAATCTGTGGCCATTGCTTTTGGTAGTAAAATTGTAAGTGAAAATTGAGTACGATCTCATTCAGACTCAGCTAAATGTGTATAAGCCGATCTAACGATAACACTACTAATAATGCTGTAGTCACACAGTAATTATCAATCACTTCAATGTAACTGACGATTTCCTAAATAAATAAACTCGAATGGGATGGGATGGGATCCCATGTAAGTTTATTTATTTGTTGTTGATGGCTTTGCAACTTACTAGCCGTAGAGCTCTTTGAGAAAGAGTTCGTCCAGGGAAGTAGTGCCACCACACATATCTCTGACGCCAAACTGTAAAATGTGAGCGTTACTGGGTTCCGGCTTTAAAAGACAAGGGTATTAGTGAACTTCAGGCACATAGGACCCTCTGTCTAAAGGCAACGAGCCCTGTGGCAGTGCGGCTCAAATCTTGGCACTGCACTGTCATAGATAGGTGTCGCTTTCCACTAGGCGCGCGGCTTGTCCCGTCACTTGATATCTTAAAAAGGAACTGCCAAATGGATGGTGCTAACTCTGTGGTTGTCTTTATTTGTGTCAATCATGGAATTAACTATATTAACCAGTGGAAGCAAATATTTACTTTTCTTATCCTATTTTAAACTTTGATGCCCCAAATGATCATGACTAACCTAACCTAAACACTGAATATACTCAACACTAGCGTTATCTTTCTCAGAATACTACATTCCACGAAGTGAAAGCTATTGCTCTATTTGGAACAATAATTAACGTGGGGAAGTGTGACAAATTGGAAAAGATTGTCATAATAAATTCAAATTTTTCACAATTGACACATCGGTCGACATTCTACAACATCATAAGGGACTATCCTAATTTACGTAAACTGGATATACGAGATACGCCAATGAGCGAAGAAATAATTAGTAATAATATGTTAATACGACTTTACCTTACGGAACTCACGATTCGAAATTGCAGTTTATCCAATTTGCCGGACAATTTTTTTCAATTGTATCCCGATTTGAGACGACTGGACCTTGGCCATAATCATCTGCGTTTGGTGCCTTTGTAAGTCTGTTTACTTGTTCAATACTTATTTCAAGAACCATAATCATAATGATATTATTTGACATGCACAACAATGAAAAATAACTACTACTTTTTTATTAACATAAACCGACCTCAAAAGTTTGCGTGCCCACTTTCGCCGTGTTCGTTACCGCTGTCGCCTATATGGAAGTCCTCGTCAAAACGAACCATATGAGCCCAAACACAAGGTAGCTGCTGTGCACTGCTTCTCATTTGTCTGCTATTTCCATCATCAGATCAGTTCTATGGTACCCCAACTTATTTTCATTCAATTTAATCTATGTGCCAAGTTTTATTAAAACCAGTTAACGGAAAGTGGGTGAAGTCCAATAACCCGAATTCATCCCCTAATTTGCGGCATTTTTTAAATGTGGTAATATTAAATACCACCTTTCCAACAAAATATAATCATCGAAATTGGTTCTCATATGTCGGAGTAATCGCATAACAGAGACAAAAAATACAGTCCAATTGCGAATCTACTTCTTTTTAGAAGTCAGTTAATTAAAGGGACATGTTAAATGGGTCAGGTAACTCGGCCACTGAAGACATAGCTTTCGTTGGTATTCAGCCCGCAATGAGAACACAATAATGAATTCTGAAATATTGAAAACTAACACAACACGCTTACGCACACACTAAATGAATCTGCATTCCGGGATTGCTTGCTTTTGTTATAGCTACCGCGTTATTGCCAATGTTGTACATCTTTTCAATTGTTGTACTTTGTTTGTCGTAGTATGTCAGCATATAAGGAATCGGCTGTGCTCGAATATTTAGAGTTTGTGGATCTATCTTACAATGAGCTGAGACACGACGCTTCGGAAATGTACACAGCCGCAACGATGCCTCGATTGCGTACCATTATTTTGGATCATAATTCTGGATTAGATATCTGCAGACTTGATTACTTCACTGGTCAGTGTAAGTTTTTATTGATTATTTAAAAAAAATATGTATCTTTCCTGCTGCGAATTCTCACTTGCCGTCTGTTGGGTCCTTAATATATTTATATTGGCAATTTACGTCAATTTTGGTACGTAGCATTGTAGTGAAAATATCTGTGTCCAGCACACGGTTGAGGAGTTTTCTCTTATCAGGATGCCTCGGATCAGTTCTAGTTCACCATAAGATTTTATTATCTTTAGATTTACATTACATCACTATGTGCCAAGTTTAATAAAATCAGAAAATGTCTTTTGCGCTTTTACAGCAACGATACGGGAACATCAACATTCGGACCTCATAATTATTTCGGCTAGTTTCACGGGCACTTCAAGGCTATGCTTTGGCCTCATGAAGAGAGAGAACTTACATGTTTTTAACATTAGCTACAGTGTGATCACTACACTATCGGTAAGTTTTTTGCCGCCATGAGCTTCGCTCGTTCATTCGGTTGCACGGCCATTAATACGTACAGAGACACGGGCCTATCATAGGCCTGTGCCTTGCAAATAACGATTATGATTAGTTATTAAATAAATTTATACAAATCAACGGATAACGTAACATGGGAATAAAAATCACACACCCACACAATCCACAACCTCACTATTCGTTTGAATAGTTACAGGAATTACCAGCATCTACTGCACCAAATTTTATTATGGATCTACGGGGAAATAACATCACTAATATCCAATTCTTCGGCACAAATGAGTACGAAGCGACGAAATCGAGATTCGTAAGTTCAGATTTATTTCATATACAAGTTCAGGAACATTTTATTAATATCTGACTCAATGCAAATACATGATATATACACGTCAAATACTAGAATTTCTTAACAGTCTAGTAAATAACGCCTTTTCATTATAGATACAGCCTGATGTTACAAAAACAACAGTGTTAGCCAATCTGACGCAGATGCAGTGCGATTGCCAATATTGGTGGTTACAGAAAGCGTTAAACGATATTTCAAATCTCAGGGTGCAAGATATAACGTGCTCAGATGGAATTCAGCTGATACACCAAGAACGGACCCGTTTAAATTGCACCAAATTTGATTGCGGCGACTGCGTTTGTCGTCGTTATGCAACGTCTACAACTGCTAATTGCTCTTCTGGCCAGACTGTTACCATACCTATGGTGGAAGGCTTGAGCCATCTTCACGCTGCCTCTAATCGTATAGAATCTCTCAACGCCAGTTTATTCAGTGATAAATTAGTTGTAAGTTTATCCATAATGTTGTACTGTTTTGAAGATTTCCGAAGCATTTAAAGCCCTTATGTTCAGCGAAACAGTTTCTTTTTGAAACAGTTGTCCTAAATCAGTAAATGATCATCCTATTAATCGTCTTTAAATTTACCAGTGGGTTGATGTCAGTGCTAATGGAATATCACGTTTGGACTCGAAGACTATCAAAGCCATGTTTTCGAAGGAAGATCGTCATTTCAAACTAGTTAAGAATAAAATATTCTGTGACTGCACAAATAAAGTTTTACTCAAAAATTTTCGACTACATCGTCACCAGGTCAACGACAAATTTTAATTTCATTTTTCTGCATCCGTCCAGTGCTCTTTGGTTAAAATGAGTAGTATATTATTAGGGCATCTGGATACAAGGAGTTATCCAGACGCCCTAATAATATCTATTCAAGAAGTCATTACATCTATTCAAGAAGTCATCTATTCAA